GGATTACAGGCACGCGCCACCATGCCCAGCTAATTTTTTGTATTTTTAGTAGAGACGGGGTTTCACCATGTTGACCAGGATGGTCTCGATCTCTTGACCTCGTGATCCACCCGCCTCGGCCTCCCACAGTGCTGGGATTACAGGCTTGAGCCACCGCGCCCGGCCGATTTTTAGTTTTTTTTTGTAGAGACACGGTCTCACTTGTTACCCAGGCTGGTCTCAAACTTCTGGGCTCAAGCGATTCTCCAGGCTCAGCCTCCCAAAGTGTTGAGATTACAGGCATAAGCCACCACATCCAGCCAGAAGCTTCTTTCTTAAAGTCAGTTGGTCATAGGGTTTCTCCTTCCCACCCCCATTTCCTTATTTCCCCTTCTCAGTTTCACAGGTGGTCCTGCCGTCATTTTTCTATTTCTTCCCTCCATCTTTACCCTTAGGCTCACAGCTGCTTGTGCTGACAGCAGAGTATTGAATGCTTCAGAGAGTACTCACATTTTTCTTCCACCAATGTATGCCCTACTAAAGATGTTTTTTATTGAACTTGAACTAGTTTTGTTGCAACTGACCCGACATTTTCTCTGCATTCTCTTTAACTGTGTTGATGTCATTTTGTAAGGAGGTAATGAGTTTAGCATGTTGTTCACTCCCTACATTCTTGTACTCCTCCCAATATTCCTTTTCACCGAGTTTCTCAAGAAATAGTTTCTCGGCATTACTTATTTGCATGCGCATATCTGTTGAAAATAAAGACACTATGTCATTACTGGTGTCCTTGTAAGCACTATATGTTGCAAATTGGCTTTAAGAAGTTAAGATCTGATACTAAAATATTGTTAACTCATAAATACTATTTTACATCTAAAATTTAGGGAGTTCAAAACTATTCCAACTGTTGTTTATCTCTCCTGATTCAAAATCTAAGTAAAATTAAATATCAGATTGTAATTGTTTGGTTTAAAATTAAACATCTGATTACCATTGTGTGGTTTGAGGCTTGACTGAAAGACATAATAGACAACCCATATACGTAGGAAGCTGCAAGTTTACATCAGTCCTGTGATAGCTTAATAAGGGCCCTATTTTGTATAGTGTATCATATACTATGTATTCTTTATTAGTAAATTGTCATTTTTCTGGCCATTATACCCTCTGAGCAAAAGTGGTTTCAACTCATGTCCTTCCCAGGTCCTTGGCAACCATTTTTGTAAGTAAATTGTTTGATTCAGTCATCTAAAGTTCATTTATTTAGATTTCTCTTGTATGAAAGGATAGCATCTGACAGTCATAATAACGTCTTCTCCCACCTCTCCTTTGGTAAAACCAGCGTGATAGATAAGTTCCCCAGTTAAATATGTACAAATATTGAACCATTTCAGGGATATAAACTTTGTTTGCTAAACATGATATTCTATTCAGTCTTTAGGCCTGAGTATGTTGCTGAAAATTTTTTAAAAAGAAGCATTACAGAAGAGTCAAGTATAACAAATTTAATGGCTGTTTGACTCATCACCATATGTCACCTTGTTTGAGAGTGCTTTGAAGGCAAGACCACATTATATTCATCTCTGTAAATCCAGCACTTAGCACAGAGCCTGGCAATTAGTTGGTGCTCAATAAACGTCTGTTGAATGACTGAAGCATTTCCATCAGGCCAGGGTGATATTCTTCAGTCCAGAGGTGCAGAAGGACTCAGGACTCATATTGTTCCAAAGATGTACACAAGATACTAATTTGTTTTTTGAGACAGAGTTTCACTCTGTCACCGAGACTGGAGTACAGTAGTGCGATCTTGGCTCACTGCAACCTCCCCCTCCTGGGTTCAAGTGATTCTCCTGCCTCAGCCTCCCAAGTAGCTGGGATCCCTACAAGCATCCACCATCACGTCTGGCTAATTTTTGTATTTTTAGTAGAGGCAGAATTTCACTATGTTGGCCAGGCTGGTCTTGAACTCTTGACGACAGGCAATCAACCCACCTTGGCCTCCCAAAGTGCTGGGATTAAGGGCGTGAGCCGCCACGCCTGGCCACAAGATACTGTATTTTAAAATCTCTTAACAAATGGTGCTTGTTATTTTCATTAAACAATTATTAATACTACTATAATCCAGATGGGCAGCTGTTCTCTCATTTGAGCAGACTGCTACTGTCTCAGGCCTGTGTCCCATTCGGCCTTTGAGGGGAGGGTTGGTAGATGTCACTGAAGATTGTAAAAGGGAGATGGATGTAGTGGCTGTTTTTCTACTTTTTTAGAACATTTTCTCTTCCCTTCTGGTAACACACACCTCAGAGATTTGTTTGTTTGTTTAAGCTGCAATCTGACAGCATGTGAGGCCTTGCATCCAGGTCAGAAGCACTCTTTCTCTGTTCACTGACGTGAAAAGACTAATGTCCCCTTTATGCTTAGGCTAGTTTGAGTTGGATTTTTTTCCTTGTAACTGAAAGTCTTTACTAAAAGTTGGAAGAAAAGGGTTGCAGCAGTATTTCTCACACTTTACTGTGCACAGGATCCCCCTGGATCTTGTCAGAATGCAGATTCTGATTCAGTAGGTCTGGGGGGGGGAATGCTGGGAATCTACACTGTAACAAGCTGACAGGTGAAGCACCTGCTGCTGCTCCACACCAAAATGAGTTACAAGGAACTACCTGGGACATAAAGTGATTACCTTGGAAATGTTTTCCAGACACTTCTGTTCTCTTACTTTCCCTCTCTTCCCCCATGTCTGTGAGCTTCCTTTCTTCCCATGCATGCCCAGTCCTCCTCTATCATGTTCAGCAATGCAATGTGGCCCAGTCTTGTATGACACATTCCATGCTCAGCCCAAATCATAAACAGGCATATCTCAACTAACTGAGCCCATTCCTTTATAAGGCAGTTTAACGAGCATACCTGAGCATCCTTTGGAGTCTCACTTCCATCTCAAGGGACTTATTAAAGTATTCCTTCCAAAAATAAGCAGAACTCTCTTGGAAAGAAGTTGTGCAAAATATGCTATCTACCACGTCATAACACCACTATTGCCGATAAAGAGACTTGGGTAGGAGGAGGTCTGGAGGTCTATAGGAGCAGTTTTGAACTCCCCTAAAAATGAAACTTGCCTATTGATGTTTGGTTTTGGAAATGATTTCACTCAAAACAACAAATAAGAGAGCCTGCTTTGTGCAAAGTGCTCAGGCAGGTAGGCACTTCAAGAAATCCAGAAATATGTGGATTTCCTAAGGGCTAACAAGTGATAGCACTTAGGTCTCTTTCTCGTGTTTTCCAGCTTCCTAGCAGAGATGTTATTTATGGAGGTTTTGGCAAAAATGGTCTGAGAAATCTTAGCAGCAAGTTTAGAATGAATAGGAATTTAAAAATGCGTATGACAAAACTGCATGATTTACCCTCAGTACCATGGTATTTCCTAAGCCTATAGCAAGAGTATGCCCTAGGTCTTTCATTGCCTGCACCTAGTGTTATTTTTACCCATGTTCTCCAAACTTCTCCTTTCCCAACTCTAATCCCTACTTCCCTCATCTAGATGGGATGCTTGGCTCCCTTAGAGATATTTGGAGAAACACGTTTTATGGTTATGTTTGCCTTATCATTTCCAAATCTAAACTGAAGCTGAAGCCAATGAAGCCACCAAACAACAGAATTTTTAAAAAAGAAGAAAAAGTACAAAACCCTACTATGAGGAATGGTGTTTAACAGGATACTGTCTTGTTGTAAGAGTCAGATGAGGCTGGGCGCAGTGGCTCACGCCTGTAATCCCAGAACTTTGGGAGGCTGAGATGGGAATATCTCTTGAGCCCAGGAGTTGGAGACCAGTCTGGGCAACATAGCAAGACCTCATCTTTACAAAAAAGGAACGAAATTACAGGCATAGTGGTGTGCGCCTGGAGTCCCACCTCCTTGGTAGGCTGAGATGTGAGGACTGCCTGAGCCTGGGAGGATAACACTGCAGTGAGCTGAGATTGTACCACTGCACTGCAGCCTGGGTACCTGAACTAGGCCCTGTCTCAAAAAAAAAAAAAAAAAAGTCAGATGAATTTCATCTGTTTTTGATCACTACTCTTCTTCCACCTCCTTGCTTGGCTTCATTACCTCTACCCACTTTGTTATTTCCCTCTCCTGCCCAGTTACCTACATGTGTTTGTGGTTGTGGTGGTAATGATGTCATAAAATACATTCACAGCATTTTGAACATATTGGAAGAATAAAGCATTAATATATTCAAGAAATAACTTGGTACAACTCTGTGATAGTTTTCTATGTTCCTAAATTACCTCTCAAGTTTTTTTCCTGGTCTCTTTCAAACTTCCATTTTTCCTTCATTGCTTCTTCAACATTCTCTCTTGTTACAACGGGCAATCCCTCTGCCTTCTCTTCACTCAATTCCTTTAGTAGATGCCGTATGTGCCAAATCTGTTCCTCTTTTAGGCGGCTATTCTGTCATGAAAATCAACAGTAATCACATTTGATCAAGTATGTACATTGTTTTTCCTCAAAATAGAGTCAAGAAGCTCCCTGCCTTTGGGTATCACAGGAAGCCAAGTGGGGAGCCTGGACTTCTACTTCCACCAGGCATTATGAGAGGTGATATCCCCACTTCCCCTGGCAGAGTAATGCCAATAAAAGCTAGGTAAAACAGAAGATTACAAATAAAATGTAGTCTTATGACATCATACAAAAATGTCCAGGTTTCAATAAATCACTCATCTTACCAATAACCAGGAAGATTGTGAACCGAACGAAAAATGATAATATATAAATGCCAGTACTAAGGTGGCTGACATTTTAGAATTATTTTTTCAATAGTTTTTTTTTTTTTTTTTT